ATTATTATATTAAAGGCATCCCAATGGGATGAAACTTCTCAATCCAATATTCAGAACCTTGCTCGGCCCATCAACTTTACAGCCAGACTGGAGCTGCAGAGATGTTCTCAAGTGAGCCATAACAAAGACTGAGTGAGACAATTACCATTTTCAGGTTTCTACTTTAAATCTGTAACAAGAATCAAGCTGAACCTCCAGCTAYACTGTATAAAATACCCAAATAATGGTAAATGATCTGAACTTAAATTGCACTTTAACAAGTCCCTACAGACTCCAAGGCRCTTTACATTTACAGTCAYTCACCCCTCAGACACACATTCACACACTGATGATGGTAAGCTACAATAGCTGCAGCTGCCCTGRGGCACACTGCMATGCACTGGGGCCACCGGASCCTCTGACCACCACCAGCAGGCAAGGCGGGTGAAGTGTGTTGCCCAATGGCACAACGATTGAGATGGCTGGAACGGGGAATCAAATGTGCAACCCACCAAGACGACTCCACTAATCACTCTGTCACAGCCGCTCCATCATCAAACAATCAAAGGGACGTTCCCAAAATACTATGAAATGGTTATTTTCCAGGGGGAGTCCATGTCCATCATCTTGTCCATCCATAGCAACTTGTTATATGAAATTGTCTTTTTTAAAGACAAAAGATAAAAAGTAACTATATAAGTTTTAGTTCCCAGTCTCACAGCAAATAATTTAGAGTGAAAAAAGAAAAACTCTGAAGTTCTTAAGAGCAACTATAAGGCAAATGACTTGGGAGTTTATTTAATTAACTGACTTTTACTTCATGAAAAAAAAAAAACGATGTGTGCACAGGGATTTTGGAAAGCGCAGTGGCAATAAAAATCAGAAGTTAAGTTGTGCAACAGCACCAGCCTTACTTACAATTCCTGTTCCAACACAGCAAACTGTGAGAATGTGTGGATTCTATTTGTTTGGTATCATCAGTTTGTATTTTTGGTGAATAATAATAGAACAACTAATTTACCACCAATTTCAAAATTTGACCTTCCAGGTTGCTGTACACATTAGAACTTATATCTGAAGGCAAACACGATGCATCACAATTTGAAGCAGCTAGCTAAAGTGGCATTTGTGCAACAATAAATCAAATGTGACAAATGACAGGGTACTTAGTGTTTCCCTGCACAAATTAGGTTTACTTATACAAGATTCCCTTTTGACTTTTCAGTCACACACTGTATGAATTAGAGTTATTGTCTCAGTTTATTGTCTGTAAAAGGCAGAGGTAGAGACAGTGAACTGAGAGGAAAGCAAAGAATGGTTCTTTAAAAYTGTCAACAAATCATTTTGCTATTAGTGCAATACAATAGCTCCATTGTTTAAATTAAAATGAGTATTGTTTTTGATAGAACCAAGCAACAAAAAAAGCAGAACAGTTCATTTTAAATATTATACCTTCCAGTCTTTCAAAAAKACAAAATACTCTGGTTCTTCCTCCAAAACAGACACCATATTTATTTGTGTATAATACGATCTCATGTCTAATGTGACCCCCCGTTTTTTGAGCTTAAAAAGCATAAAAACATTTTATCCTCAAACTACCTCCAATTTCATACAGACTTCAAGATTTTTTAGCCTTTGCAGTCTTTATACATATCAGTAAAATGATCAGTGGACTGTTCATTTTATTTTAACAACACATGTACTAAAAGGTACTTTGACAACAAATATATATCAGCTGTAGCAGCATCATATGAATTCTGGCACTTTACACATAGTCCACCAGGATGCGCCAACACAAAAGTCAAAGACTTCACATGAGATTTGGGCCATCTTGTGGGGGAAAAGCAGATTACTTCCTACTCACGAGCGCCCCCTCTGGTGGGGAAACTTTTTTCAGGGATACAAACTTTTTCAGAACACCGGTAGATGGCCGCCATTACAGACAAACGTGTTTGTTGTTGTTCGAGGAGCAGCCCGGTTACATGCTAATGCCATTAGTTCGTTAGTCCTGCACCTAGTAACTAAGGTGCAGGACTACTCCCCCACCTTTTTTTTCACATCATGTCGCCTGCCTGGATCTGTTACTATCTCGCTCTGAAGCACAGATGAGTGTCAGAGGTAAGCTAATTTCAACTGCTTTTTACAACGCAGTCTCATTTCTGGACAGAATGAAGCAATATTTCAGTTAAAATACATAAGTAAAAATATTTATCCAAGTATAATACTACCCCCCAACTTTATGGATGATTTTATGGATTAAATTTTGGTTAATATACTTGAATATATATGGTCATTTGGTATATGGTTTTCTCAGAGACAGAATGTTTTAAAGATGTAGTAGGTCAATTTTATAAAAATGTTTATTTATTTATTTATTTATTAGCATTTTTGTTAAAACTGTCACTATGTTCTGAAAAAAAATCAAGCTCCTCTGTCTCCTCCCAGTGGTCCTGTTACCATTTACAGAAATAAACTGCTCCCGTTCAGAAACATCCAATCAGTCAGGAGTCTTACCAGTGTCAATCACGCTCATGTATGAGCTGCTCCCACCCTTCACCCTGCACAGCATGTACCCTCCTTCAAGCTCAAGATTGCCGCTGCACTGAAGCTGTGCTAAGGGCGGAGAAACAATCTAATGTTACGAAAACTGCCAATTTCTGAGTGTTCTTAATGTTGTTCATCCACCCTCATCTGTAGCCCTGCTGCTAAACCTGCACATTCGCAACAGGCTCCTTTGTGGGGTAGGAGCTGTGGACAGAGGGCTGTAGCATCGCAGGAATGGGGAGGGACCTCTAAGGTGTTGATTCAAGTTTTCCTACTGCAGCCTTACAAATTGTCGAAACCATTTTTGCTCATGTCTATAAAGTACTAACTAGCTTTCTGTATTCCCTCATGTCAGCAGAAGGAACTAACAACTGCAGCACAGAACCACTGTGGTACAACAAAACCACTGTGGCAACAACACAAACATGACAGACCAGATTGTGCAGATTAGACATAACCAGTGCAAATCTCAAGACACCTTTATTCACAGTCCCGTATCTCTCGATTTAAAGCTCCTTATCTCAGTCAGCACAGGTCCAATATAAATCTACTGGAAAAACTCACAGAACAGCCTAATAGCCTCTTTTAATGTTGATTTATCCTGCCTTCTAACTAAAAAGAAGCCTTGAAAACTGCCCTTTGAGATTTATGTAAAAAATGTCAAATACCCATTTATGTGTTGAAGTAGAAATCTCAAGTTCTGCTGGTATTGTCAAAAGGGTTTAAAACTTCATTAATTAGATAAATGGGAAGACTGTGAGTGATCTAAAGCAACAGGAGTAATTTCAATTTGAAAGAAAACGCTTTATCCATTTGGAACACAGTCAACAAATGAATCGGTCATCTAATCACCTGCATGTAAAGGCTTTAAAAAGTCATGCGCCTGTCTAAGTATGATAGAGTGGAGGAGTGTGTTTTGTCTCCAGCTGTTTTGCAGCATACGTGAGGCAGGAACACTGACGTGCAGAAAGACAGGGGGAAAACGGAYGAATAAAATGTGTTTCTCATGGTTGAACTGTGACTGAGACTTAGCCAAGGTCACCCTCTTCCTCATGACATACATGGAGCCAGACTTAGCCTCTTACTTGGATGCTCTCCATCTGCTCTCACTGATAAGACTGGCTAGTTCACAAGCAGCATGAAGGCACCACWGCTCTGCACTGGGAATAATGTTGCACAATTAAACAAAATCATTAGTTTTATGGCTTGCAGGAATTAAGGCATTGTTTTCATGCATGGGGTTTGACATGTAGCTTAGATGCCAATGATGGGCTGAAGCAAATTAAAAAAAATACAGCAATCTCTTGTATA